CCCGCTGTGCTGCCCCGGGCGGAAGGCGCGACGGCTTGGCTTCGTTGATCGATGAAGCGGCCGAAAATCTCCCCGGAGCATTTTTCAATTCGACAGAGTTGAGGGGCAACTTTGCAAGAAAAGGGCTGTCGATGGAGGAAATGGTGACGCTCTCTGGAGCTCACTCCATTGGAGATTCTCATTGCTCTGCCTTCTCCAAAAGGCTTTACTCTTTCAGTGCAAGATTTCCACAAGACCCTTCGATGGATGGGGCTTATGCTGAAACTTTGAAATCCAAATGCCCAAGGCCTCGGAATTTGACAGATTCTGTTGACCCAGTTGTGGCTTTTGATCCCTCAACGCCTGCTCTGCTTGACAACAACTACTACAAGAACTTGGTCAGCCACAGAGGGCTTTTGGCTTCTGATCAGGAGCTTTGGAGCAGTGGGTTGACGAGGAAGATGGTGAAGTACAACAGGAACCATCCGGGTGCATGGGCCTCTAAGTTTGCTGCTGCAATGGTGAAGATGGGTTCCATTGGTGTGACGGTGGGGAGAAATGGAGAAATCAGGAACAACTGCAGGGCTGTGAATTAGGAAGCTCTTGTTGTGTGTGCCTGCCTGGCTACATAGTGCTCACTCAAAATCTTCTTTCGAACTATAATTTTATATTTTAAGAGCCATGTAATTTAATTTGAGTTTTTCCAATTTTGGGCATGTTCCCCTTGTTTTGGGAAGTTCATTTTGATTTGAGATTGTGGACGTGTACGTTATAGTTTGTTTAATATAATAGTTACATGTTTGTGAGGTTTAATCAAGAGTTCATCTTACTTGTCATATTATAATTATATATTCGTAAAGAGTGACCCTATTTGTACTACATTTACTGACTACATTGCTGACCACCTCTCTAATATAGTTAATAAATATGGTACAAATAACATTATTGATTCGTAAATATGGGTTATACCAATTGGCTAAGGTAGTGTGTCTGCCCATTGCATCTGAGTTGAATCTCCTTCCCCATAGAAGTTAAATCAGTTGGCCAAAACAATGTGTCCACCCCTTTGCACTTAAGTTGAATTCTCATTGTGCGGAGTATAATATCACTTTGTCAAACAAAAACTATAATTAAATATTCTAGTTTGGGTTTCTCATTTAACAGTCCGCTAACATAAAATTGATTGATTTAAAATCAGAAATTTAAATAAATAATTTGATGTTTGAATTTGAAAAATATTTAATTTTGATTTTTTTATATTCTTAAATTCATGGGAAAGTTGGAAGCACCTCCTACACAAGCAGCCCATTCAAGATGGGCTTTTAACTGGAGAAGCCCGACCCTTTTTTTAAGTTCTCTGGTAGGCCCAGTTTATAGTTAGCGCAGCACCAGTTCTCGCTTCTCATTCATATAAAACCAAAAACCCCTTCAGAGTTAGAAAACCCTAACGAACGCAGAGCACTAGAGTTCAGCAGCTGCCGCCACCACTTCTCAATCTCATATCTGTTCAAAGGTAGATTCTTTCTCTTCCTTACATTCTGAATCTTTCAAAAATATTATCAGCGATCCATCATCCTACCAATCCACCGATTTGAGAAAATTGAGATTTGTTTCTGTGTTTGTTGGATTTGGATTTTTAGGGTTTCAACTCAATCGACAATATGCAGAACGAGGAGGGACAAATCACTGAGCTTTACATTCCCAGGAAATGGTATTTAAATCTTATTTCAATTGAAATTTTTGTATCATTGTTTTGTTTGTGTGGTTATGATTTTTAGGGTTTGGGCTAAAATTTTGTGGTGTTTGGATGCAGCTCGGCCACAAACAGGCTGATCACTTCAAAGGACCACGCATCCGTTCAGATTAACATTGGGCATCTGGATGAGAATGGCATCTACACTGGCCAGTTCTCCACTTTCGCTCTCTGTGGCTATGTCCGCGCTCAGGTTCATCTTCTTTCTGTCATTTCAATACTATTATGATAAATATTTGTGTTTTTTTGGGCATGTTGTAAGTGTATATGCCAATAGGAATGTAGAATGATTGTGGGTATATATCTTGTTGTCTTTTCGTTAAGATTAATCTCGTAGAATGATTGTAGACTGCACTTCTCAACCTGAATTTGAGGAAAATAACGTACAAATCATTCAAGTTTGATGCGTATATGTGCGCGCAATATCCAAAAGTTCCTATGCTAAAAGATCACCAATTTTGTTTCAGCAATCAGTTTCTTCATTACATTAGAAAGCAGTTGCAATTACATCGTCAGAATTTGTTCAACCACTCTGGATTCACCTCTAATTCGAGGATGCCATTTACCAAATCGAATATCAGAAGAGCGAAGTAAACACAAACATATGCTGGGATCCCATAATCCAACCGAAAACCCCAAATAGTACACACAAGCATCTAAACTTTTGTAAACTTAGTTGTCTTAAGATTTTCCATGCTTCTATAAAGTTTAGATTACGAGGGGTCGGTTATTTAGGTTTTTGAATAATTCTTTAATGACTTATGTGATGCTCTCTTTTTTGAGTACTTAAATTTGCACTTTGGGAGCCCATTGATTCCAGTTCTGATTCTTTGCATTCTTTCTTTTATTTTTCAGGGAGAGGCTGACAGTGGTCTGGACCGTCTCTGGCAGAAGAAGAAATCTGAAGTTAAACAACAGTAGAAAGAGATGATTTTTCTTATGTGGTTTCTTTTCTGGACGTATGTTATTGACAATGGAAGTGTTGTTTTAGTGAACTAAAATATATGTTGAGCGTTTTTCTTTTCCAATTAGTAGTGAATGTTGCAATTAGCTCCCAACCTTTTGGTGTTCTTGAATTGGGCTGTTCTTTTGACGGCGAAGTAGTGAAACTTTTACTCCTTGGAGTATTTTAAATATATTTCCCTGCTTTACGGCACTTTTTACACTGGTAATGCATGATGATTGAAATCCAGGGCAGTATATGTTTTGAGAGCTTGTGACTAAAGATTTGTAGTTGGCAATTCATATCTATTGCTTGTGCCTGCTTAAGCTACCACCCTCTGCCTTTGCTTATTATCGGCTGTTAATTGCTTGTAAAGATTCATGTGTTGACATAAAAAATTGGTTGTCATTTATACGTTAACGTTGGCTTAGGAAATCATATAGAAATTGGGAGAATCTTACATTCAAACGTTGGTGAGTTTTAAATTGATCGAATAGCTTGCAG